ACAGGATGAATCCCAGCAGAGCCTGACTGCTCTCTCTGCCCGGCCCTGGGCATCTCCCGAGGCAGGAACGTGTGACAGAGGGCTGCTCTGAAGCTTGCTGCTTCTCTCTGCATATCGTTCTCCTCTGTTCTAACGGCCCCTCCCTGCTCTGTTTTCGGGAACTTGTGTGAAGCATAGCGTGGCTTCAGCTTGCTCTGCATTTGACCTTTTGGGAGGGGCGTGTTTGGCATTGCTGATGTTTTCTTAGTTTTCCATCCCTCTGCTCTCGGACTGCCTCACTTGTCGTGTTCAAGGGGTGGGTGTGCAACCTCACACTCTTCCAAGAGTATATAAAATAGCCTGTTTTGCGCAACCCCCCCCCCCGCCACCTTTTTCTCCCCATTTTCAGCTTCCTTAGAGCTTTTCCACCTTCCCGCTCATAGGTATAACTGCTTTCTTTCTTCATCTTTCTCTCCCACTCCCTCTCTTTAATCTCTCTCTCTCTCTGAGGGAGCTGAAGGTGTGCCTCACTCTGGCCCTCCCTCTCTCCCTCAGACAGAAAGCAGACAGTGCAGAAATCCCGCCCATTGCCCCCCATCACGCTCCCCGTTGCAGTCTGTGCTACTTCATGCTCTTCGCTCTTAAAGGGGAAGCCCTTTGTGTCTGGGCCCGCAGTACGTCTTCGCAGTGCGGGGGGGCATGGGGTAAGGGACTGGAGGGAGTCAGGCGCAGTTTGCTCCCCGTGTTCTGACCCCGCCCCCAGTGGCAGGAGGCGGCAGAGGCGTTCGAGCTGTGAGTTACTACAACTGCTCACATGTGCGGATGTTCAGCTGATTCATACGCCTGTGTGTGTGTGTGTAACTACTTCCAGGCCAGCCCTGCGACTCTCCCCATGGCTGCCACCATGCAGGACTTCCAGAGGTCTGAGTCGGACAGGCTCAATGAGGTGAAGGGCCACCTGGAGATCGCCCTGCTGGAGAAGCACTTCCTGCGTGAGTATGGCACCGTGGGCCTCGCTGCTTGAACATCATGATGATGATTAAGAGTACAGTTTGTTTGTTGTTGGATATACCTGACAGGAACTCCTAAGGACAGTAGTTCAGTTCTGCTGACAGGACTCCACCCTGTACCAGTGCTGACCGCAGTGCGGCTGGTTTGGGTCATGCTGTTCCGGCAAACCGCCTGTCTGAGTGTGGGTTCTTGGCAATGTGGCGGCTCAGCTGGGGTCACCCGCTAGCTTTAGTGTGGGACGTCGTTTCTTGTGTGTGAGTGTGCTCAGTAGAAGCACTGGGCTGACCGTGGAATGTGAACCAGTGAGATTCATGAGCTGGGACATATCCATCCTGCAGTCTCCGTTGTGATAAACAACTGCTGATCTTTCGATATGACCCGACACTCTGGCACAAAGGGCAGATAGCACTCCACGTTCCTCCTGTCTCACATGCCCAGTGAGCTTGGGAACTGGTAATGTCTGCTCGTCTCCCAACGTGGCCCCGCCATTGTGAAGAGTAACCAGTTTGCACAATGCTGTGCCTTTTGACTTCAGGCTTCGCTGCGAGGCATCACGTTTGGGGTGTGTATCCCTGAGCTCTGCATGTTGTGAACTGCCCGGGCTTGTCCTGGGAATCTGTTTACGTTCTAAAGACCGTTTGCTGTCACTGTTTGACCCTTGGCAGCAGGGAGCATGAGCATTCACGTCTCTCAGGGACAGATGGGCACTCTGTTGGTGTCTGTTGGTATCAGTGAGGATCTCCATGACAAGATGTCTGAGGGATTCACTCGGGGGCTCTAGCCTGGGGGCAACAGGAAGCGGGTAACGTGGTTCTAGGAGATCGAAAGCAGAAGCCACACTCTTGCAGGTGGGTCACATGACCTGCAGTGCTGATGGAGTAAGGCTGCTCTTCATTTCTCAGCTCGCTTCCTTATGATGTGAGGATGCTTGCTTTGTCGTCAGACAGTGTCCCATCTGCTGCACATGCTGGGACGGGACCCACGGGGTGACAGACCCCAGCAGCAGACGCTTGATCTCCAGTTTCATTCAGTTTACAGTGGGGGTTGGGGGGGGTGGGTTCTTCTACTAAAAGATGTAGCACTATCTGCATTAATTAACTATTTAAATGATGTTATATAGTTTTTAACATTGATGTCAAAGCTTACCCTAATTTCATATAAATTTATGCTAATTTCTCACCAATTGTTAACCGTAGCTGTTGTTATTTCCTGCCTCAGTGGAGATCAGTGGTAATGTTTAACAGATTAAATATGTTAATATGGAGAAGCCAGTAACTTTGGGAATGAATCAGCATCTGTGAGTGTCGTCCTGTCTTGGGTCCATGCCCATCCCTTTCTAAATGGTTCTGGCTGCATGGGAATCATGTTGTGTCCTATCTGTGATTAACACTCCAATGGCTGGTAATTATTTCTATATTCATTAACTCTCCTGGTGTGTTGGACACTACAGGGTTAGCTGAACCTCTATGGATGAGATGCTGTTGGTTGTTGTTTCTAAATCTCCAGTGTGGCTTTTGCTTATTTGCTTATTAAGGCCAGTGTATAGAAATTTGGAGGGAGGGGGGAGTTATTTGTTGGGGAGGCAGAGAAACAGCTGGTCCGCTTGTGTGCTTTTTGGGGCGACGGTCCTTTTCCTCATAGGCACAATGTCTGGTGTGAGTGTAATGGCAGTCAGATGAGGGTTTCCTTTTTGGACAAATGCTCTGAGTAAACATGGTGTTTAAAAATAGACTCTTACATGGCTTTTCCAGGTCAGATGAGAGATTGATGAACGAGTCGATCCACCGCTAATATCCTTCAGAGTGGTCTGACTGTGGTGGGACAACATTCTGATTTTGCAGGTGTCCAAACACCATCTTCATATACGGCTTTGGTTGTTTCTGAGTCTACCATGTAATGGATCGCAGAAAACTCTAGAATCGTTTGTGTGGCCCAAGTCTATTCTGTCTGCCGAGTTATTTACTTCTATTTGCAGTACTTAGTTAACAGGCTGCAGCACTGCTCTGCCGTAAGTGACATAACAACTTAGGGGTCCTTCCAGAAGCGTTCATTTGGGAAACGGTCACATGAAACTGTTCCGCTTCTCAGAGCTGTTGAAAATTCCTCACTGCTTTGGAGAATGACTCTAGTAACAAGTCTATACTGGGACCAGATGCTTGCGGAGCGTTAGAGAGCCCGTTTTCTTACGAGAGTATGTGACATCTTCTGTTGTCAGAAATTCTATCTTTAATGCAGACCACACAGGTGTATCATTCAGAGTACCAAAGTCTCTGCGTCTTCACGATGCCTGTGATGAAGGCACCTGTGATGAAGGATACTTAGGGGTGCACAGTATCACATTGTGATATGTGAAATTTCCATGAGTAACACTGCAATATTTATAAATCATAAAAGGAAATAAAACAAACTACAGTCAAATAGAACATATCTCCCAATAGTGTGTGTCAAATAAGTTGATGTTGTTGCCACGAGTTGTTGAAAGATACAAAGCAGTGCTGACAAATGCAATATGATTATTGAGCATGCATAGATATATTGTGCAACCTTACCTATACTTGCATTTATTGGTTTATCAGATGCTTTTGTCCAAAGCAACATACAAGCGAGGCAGTTATGTCTCAAGCTTACAACTACCAAGCAGCCATCAAAGCATAGTAGAAAAATGCTGAAGCACCTGGTATAGCTAAGGAATAGCAGATGAAGACAACGCAGTTCAGTGGTTGGCTGAGCTAGTTTAGATGCTCCCTGAAAAGATGGGTCTAGAGGCATTTCTTGATATTTTAAGAGGAATTCTTATGACAGGACGTGAGTGGGTAGATTGTTCTACCTTTGAGGAGCCACACACAGATTGTGTGATTCATTGGAGATCAAAGTCAGGATCAAAGATTTGAACATGCTCCTATTGCTTATAGGGAACCAATGATGTGAGACAAGGAGGGTGTAACAGGAGAAGTATTTCAGCTTATTGAATACCAGACTTGTTGGGTTTGAATCATTTGCAGTGGTGAACAAGCTGGTTGCCTTATTAGCAAGGAGCTGCAGAAGTTTAGTTGTGAGATGACAAGTGCCTGGACAAGAAGCTGAGTTACATATTCTGGCAAGGCCTGATCTTCCTGATATTTTACATGGTGTATATGTGACTGTATCAGGGCTACAAGACTGGGAGATGAGAGATGATCCATGTGCCTAGCACAGGATAGCCAGTCATCTGTTATTACCCCTAGGATCCTGGCTGACCTCAAAGGAGACCATGTCGTGTATCCAAGGGGTACAGTGATGTTGTGGTGGATGGTAGGGCTGGCAGGGAAGATGAGAAGCTTGGTTTTGTAGAGATTCAGCTGTAGGTGTTGACAAAGCACAGACAGCAGTGTCCTTGGGGTGGGCAGGTCGGACTGAATATCTTCAGCGTATGAGTGGTAGAAGCAGCCATGTAACTGGATGATCGGACCTAGAGAAACAGTGTACAGGGACAAGAGGAGGGGACCAAGGAGTGAACCTTGGGGCACACTCGTTACCTGATGTAACTCTGGTAACCACTGCACTCCAAGACACTTGGAACAGTTTGCCTGATGGATGAGAGACAAACCATCCCAGAGTAGGGTTTGGCAATTCATTGTGTCAGTATTTGCAAAAATGTGCAAGATAAGAGCAAACGACTGAAACACAGCTCTTGTAACTTTTGGTGCATCATGACAGTCAAGAGTGTGGTCTGAGTTGAGTGTTTAAGCCCCTTAAGATAGTCTGACAATGGCCCAGGAAGATCTTATGTGTGAGTCAAATCAGATACTTGATTGAGGACAGTATGCTCAGAATCTGAGGCAGAAATTTAAAGGAGTGAGACTGACCTGCAGTGACAGGGTGAATGAGGTGGGGGAATGAGATGTGGGGGTGTGGAGGGGGACTGTGAGTAGTGGATGAGAGGAACCGGCTGCCAATAGCTGCTACTTTCTCTTTGAAGAAAGTGGCAAAGTTATAAGTAGTCAGGATGGTGGGTGGGGTGGTAGTGGAGGGTTAGGTGGTTTGTATCTGTGGTGGTGGTGCTCTTATGATAGTAGTCGGTTTTAGCAGCAGTGATGTCAATACAAAAATGTACGTGACTGATAATCAGCAAGGTCCCTGAGGTTCTCTGTCATTTTCTCTAAGCTAGCCATAGAGAGTGCTGGACAGCCAGAGGTGAGAGGGTTGTGAGCCTGCTGACCTGGAGGAGAGGGGGAAAGGGGTGTTAAGGCATGAGTTTGGAACAGAGCATAGTGCCAAGCACTTGAAACAGAACTCCTTAGGAGAAGGAAGGGTAGAGGACATACAGGGAAGCAATTTTTGCAGAGAGTGAAGACTATGGCAGATACTCGAGGAAGGCAAGTAGAAGGAAACTAGGGGAGGAAGTCAGGAGGAGATGTAAGGCATGACAAGGATACCTGCGTGAAGCAGTGATCAGAGACCTGTCAAGGGGTGATGAGTACAGTGTTACAATGTGGAGTGGAAGGTCTTGGAAACGTTACCCTGAGTGGACCTCATCATGGTAGGTAAAAACGTGACACTTCCCTCATTGCTCTTCCTTTGTTTTGTGATGCCGTTTACTTGTGTAGGCAGTAATGGTGTGAAGCTGAGGATGGGACCTTTTGTCCCTGAGGTATTCAGCCACTGACCTCGGCAAGGTTCATATCTGTGTGCAAATTTCTATACTGCTCTATGGCTGCCCAAGAATGGACCATAACTGTTTCAATGAATGACACCACTACCTCTCAAATATCATACAGCAGGTTCCTAACTGCATGGACAATCCACTCTCTAAGGCAACTTCAATGCACACTGCACTTTGCACAACATCACCTCATGCGCCACCACTTGCCACTATTTTGCATTTTGTATATGTTGGATATTTTGTTAATTTTTAATCTTATTGTCTGCACTTTATATTTATATTTATATTACCTTATCTGCACTTTTTTTTAATCTTTCTCTTTCTCTTTCTCTTTTCTTGTCTTTGGATCGGTCAGGGTTCATTTCACTGCATGTTGTACCTGTTATAACTATGTATGTGACAAATAAAGAATCTTGAATCTTGAATCTTGAATGTGTGCTGGTATTAGGACCGTGAGCATGGGGTCCTGTCCATGAGATTGTCCTTCTGCTGAAAGAGGATTCATTCAAGATTTATACTGGGAAAATAATTCTTAACCCCATGAATTCCAAAATGTAATTATAAAATAACCTGCCTGGCTATGAAGTATATTTTTCCAGCTGCATCAAATTCCATGGCAGAGGTCACTTTGCTCGTTGAGGTATGAGCATCCTTATGCGTTTGAGGGTAAAATGATCTCTGTAACAGTTCCCTCTGCCAGAAACCAGAAAAGCAAGCACAGTGTGCTGCTCACTGGTCTGAGTCCTGAGAATCCAGTTCATGTTCATGAATGGGGTGAGAATGCTTGAGTGAATCCTGGGCTGATTTGTTCTGGAAATTGTAAGCCACGCGTGTAATGAGAGAGTGCTGTTCTATAAAGGCTAGTGTGCAAATGGCGCTTACATGACAGGAGGGGAATAACCCTCGTCATCCTTTCTGCCCCTTCTGAAACCGGAGACCTCTGTGGGGCTGTGTGCATGGCCCAAGCTGCCACATGTGATGTGGGTGGCTGGATATTCCGCTCAGAACACCAGCGAGAGGGCTTGGAGCTGACTCACTGCTTATTCACTATCTTAATCACATCAGCCTCACTGAAGCTGGCATGGCTTCAGGGGAAATGCACTGATTTTGTTCTGTAAACAGTCAAACCGCTTTTCTGCAGTTCCTGTCTGCTCCCGTGATGGGGTTTCCTTCAATGCACTTCCTGTTTGACAGGCCAATGATGATGAGATGTGTCTGCTAGGTACATAGGTATGGGGAGACCTGCTCCTGTCCTTCTTGTTCGTTTCTGTTTGTTGGATTCCTCTGCATATGCTTCTCTCTTCTCATGTTCAATGACTGTAATATCTCATCTCATTAAATGGATTATGAGCGGATTAAGGAGGTGCCTGAAGCCAGAGCCTGCCTTTCCCTGCCTGTGGTCCAATGCAAGCTGCCTTCTGCTCATTATCTTCACCGTCTCTTAGGATCTCAAGGTTACGCTCCCATCAGAATTCTCCTGGCCTCTAGCATCCTCAGTGGTTCCTACCTCCACCAGCTGGGCAGTGGCACCTTAGTGACAGGAGGGGATGGGGTGATGACATCACAGCCTAGTAAAACACTGATGTCGGCCTGAGTACAGTTCTTGCAATCTCATTATTGTATTTTCATTCCGGTTTGCTCTTGTGTGAACACAAACTGATATTACAGCTTGGTATTTCCATAGCAGCAGTTGGCAGCTTCGAAAGCATGAATGAGCCAGAGTGTCCAGTACACTGAGGATGCAGTGGCAGTGTGTCTCTGTTCCTGTGCCTGCAGCATTCCCGAGCTGGGCCAGCCCCCGCGGGGAGGCACTGCCATTGTGGGTAATAGTCATGTCCGGCTCCACAGGGGGACCAGGCTCACCCTAAATAATCCTGTGGCCCACCCAACATGTCAAAGCTGGGGCTGGGCCTGGCGATGTTGTGGACAGGGAGATCCCAGAGAGTTGTTGGTTCAACAAAGTACTTAAGCATGAAAAGTAAAATACTCAGCTGTGTAAATGAATCCAAGTGACCAAGTGGGTTTGGGTAGGAGAACAGCTAATGTAACTGATGCGGTGATTTAGATTATGTAGATATTTGGCGATGTAGATATCATGCTGTAGATGTAGGTGTGTTTTCAGATGGTGTAGGTGTGGTGGTATCTATATGCTGTAGATATAGCTGCTGGTGGAGTGTCGCCATCTTCCCTCCATCAGGGGGTATGAACCCATTTCGACACTCTCACTTGCCGTGACATGATCGTCCCCTTTTCTCCATTTGAGCTCCTCTCGGGGTAGCGGAAGGGAAACGTAAAGGTGATTTAAGGGACCCCCCCTTGTTGTGTGTTGTCTGCCTGGCATCCTGCCACACTGCACACATTATCCATCCTGCCAGTGGCGCCGAGAGCCAGTGCAGTGCGTTAATGTTTAATGACTCCTAACAGGTGCAGCCTGACTGCTTCTTCTCTGACGTGCGTCTTGTCACCGCGTGTCTCCCAAAGCTCACTTTCTGATCTGCACACGTGCAGCGAGTGCAACACGTTCATGAATGTTGTTTGGCACAGCTTAGCTCTACTGTTGCTTTCAACACCAAAATGGAAACTTCCGTGTCCTTTTAACTTCGGGGGGGGGCACACACCTCAAGAATGAGTGTCTGCAGTTGTCATGGAGGTTTGATGAGATGGTTCAGTCTGTAGTTTGGTTTTGTCGTGCCATGGGTCTGGAATCTGTGAAATGATTGTATGATTGTCTTTTTGTTTGGATCGTTTGGTTCCAAGTTTGCAGAACTCCCAGTGAGTGTGTTTTATACGATGGGGTTTTCCTACCACTTTTTTTTCCCCCGGTGTTAAAATTTTTCTGATGGATGGGAGTTAGGGTTAGCAGATTTTCCTCAGATTTGTTTCTGTGACTGTTTTCTGCTTCTAGATAAAGCAAAGTTGTAGTCTCAATGCAAAAAAAACACCGTCAGTCCTATTCAGCAGCGCCACCTTCGTTCTGGTGGAGAGCTTGCAAGGTGGTCTTTTATCCTGCCGTGCTTTGTTTCCTTCTGAAAGGAGCCACTCCTGCTCCTCAAATATTAACCGCGGTATGCACAGAACAAAGAGACTGGAGAGAGATGCCATGGTCTGACTTGAAGTCTCCTGCATGGTTTGCAGGACTGGCATGCTGCTTACGTCTTAACTGTAAAACAGCACTCCTGTGTCTATTGATTGTCTTTTCAGGTCACATTTATGTGGATGTCATGTTTCATACACATCTTGTGGTGCTTCTGAACCATATAAAATGAGGCAGTGAATCATATCCTTCATGTTAAAATTCTTAAACATGTGCCTTTAAAAGAGAAAGTACGGTGTTAAGTATTTTTAGGCTTGTACATCCATCTTCTAAATCCTGATGTAGATTTCTTTTTTCTTTTTCCCCCCCAGAGGAGGAACTGAGAAAATTGCGTGAAGAAACAAACATTGAAACTTTGAAACAGGAGCTTGAAAAAGAACGAATGAAAAGATTAGACCTCGAGCAGAAAATGAACGAGGTCATTAAAGCGAGGTGAGTGTGTGCTGAGTGTTTGCGCCAGCCCTTCCGGACCTTTCTGCCGCTCTCTGTGTGAATGTGCCATGTGAGCACATGGCTCTGCCTTCCAGGCTATAGCAGGCTTGTGCTTCAGCAGGTTTTACCGCAAGCGCTGCTTTAAAAATAGTCCCGCCTGCTGGTCGCCCTGGGAGACCGGGGATTCCTCAAGGAGAGGCGGGGACCAGTGTGTAGCCGGACGTGGGCACGGACACGGGCAAGGGCACAGACAAGTGTCACACTGAGCAGCCTAATTGGGCCGCGGTGACTCATAAGCATGTAATCCTGAGTGACCGTGGATCTGGACCCGTTAATCTGTTTACAGTGACACGTGGTGTTCGTTTTTCTGGTTTGCTTTGGCAATCATTGAACATACTCATCAATCTCAAGACCTTAAGAGCATTTCTCAAAAAAGTTCATGCATATAGCACAACACTACGGTTTAGCTGCAAAAGCCTGTACTGTAATTTACCCAAAACAATTAACTTATGTCTCAAAAGCAAATAATTCCACCAATGAATTAGTCAGTGCCAATCACAAGTACAATCAGCATCGTTTTAACCATGAGAGTCAAAATCTATTAGTCAGTTTCCAATTTCTCATTGTCACTGATCAGTCATTATTTTTTAGCAAACTGATACTTATTCATGTCAAACACCTGTTTCAACTTTAAGCTCCATATTACACTATGTACAGTTCACTGTTGAAAGCACATATTTTTTATTGCATATATTTTTCATATCTCAAGTCACTGTACAATAGCTAACAAAAAAGTCACACAGCACTGTACAACACAAAAACAACAAAATGGCAATACAAGAACAACAAAACAATAATACAAGTAAAAACAATACTGTGGGAACCAAAAATGCAACAATGCTGTATCACTGCAATATATGGAACATATATTTAAATATATAAAAGAAAAATAAATCATATATATATAAATCACAATATCTAAATATATTTAAATCATTTTGTAAGCTGGGTTAACTGTTTTGCATGTGGTGCAAGATGATCAATTATTACAGTAGGAAACATAATCTCTTTTAACCAACAAGGCTAAAGCAACTGAAAATAGTGCCAAATGATGACAATTGTACAAAACTATTTCCATATATGTACTAAAGCATTTGGAAATTTGTGAGGCAATAAGAAATAATGTTCTGCTGTGCAGAAGTGACATTATGGTGTGGGGATTACACTTGTTTTGCAAATGTTAATTGTCATTTGAGAAATGCTCCAAAGCAAATCTAGGAAAAACTATAATGCATGGTAAACAAATGGTGTGGCTGCTGTGTCATCCTCAGCTTGTTGATGCTTTGGACGATGTTGGATGTTGGCCGATGTGTAGAATCCCAGGGGGTTTGTGTGTGCCTGTCTGCCTGGGACCCACACTGGCAGTTTTCTGCATGATTGTCACAGGTTAGCGTGTCACCTCTTCTGATCGTCTCCCCCTGCAGGTTGGAGGACTCGCCGGCACAGTCCCCACCTAAGGCGCCATTACCAGTTGCCAATGGGGCAGGTGAGTCCGGGTCTCGTGCTGTCAGTCTGCCTGTTTTTTTTTTTTTTACGGCTTCTTTTATAGATGGTGACATCATCTTTGGAAAATGGCATTAATCCGCAGCTAGCTGTGCTGGTTCCCACTGATTAGCAGGTATCACGGCACAGAGACGATGAAACAGGCCCCCACCCCGGGTATTCAGTGCTGGAGACTCTGCCTGCAGTGAGGGTGGCTTGGGGGGCTATTCTAATAAAAGGAAAAGTGTCACCATGGTTATCAGAGAGGAAGTGAGTGAGGCTGGTTAAAGCATATCGCACCTCCACACACACACACACACACACACACACACACACACACACACACACACAGGCACACACACACACACACACACGCGGTGGCAGCAGGCAGCCTCGTTCGCATGCGCCAGAACACCAGCACGCTGTTCGGCTTCCGGTGAACAGCACATTATTTTAGGAAGTGGGTTAAATGTGTGGATCACAGGAATCTAGGGCAAGTGGCTCTACGGAGGGGAGCTCAGAAAATCCTCTGGATGTGGGACAGGCGGACAGGGGTGGTGCTGTTAGCCTAAACTGGGTCTGTGGGTTACAGGTGCAGTGACGCAGCATGGAGAGCCCCCTGCTGGCCTTGCTAACCTCACATCTTTCGCCGCAGATAAAGGCCAGGACACACTGTATTACCGGCTGCAGAAGTGGCTATATGACAGGCTGGGCGTTTACATTGAGGACTTCCGCTTTCAGCCCGAAGAGAGAACGGTGGAGGCAGAGGAGCCGCTGAGTGCCAAGAGGTAAGTAAGGAGACAGAGCACAGCACCCCCTGCTGGCTGCGGGATGAATTAAGATGGCGGGACTAGACATACAGGACAGCCCCAGCAAGCTGAAGGGAGGTCTGATGGCAGCTGCATGTGGCTGTACCGGTCTTTGCTGTGATACTGTCACTTCTGGGTCCCTGATCAAGGCCCTCGTCCCCAAATGCCAGCTCCAGGGGTGCCGGAAAAGTAGCTGACCATGTGCTGGGATCCCAGGTTTCATTCTTCGCTATGTGAGACATGCGAAAACCAACTAATTGTACAAATGGCAAATAATTATCAACAGCACTATTAATTTCACGGTATTAGCAGATGGTCACCCCAATTCTGGATTAACACAAATAATAATAATAATAATAATAATAATAATAATAAATTTAATTTATAATGCACTTTACATTTTACAAAGAAGATCTCAAAGTGCATACAGACAGTGAGAGAATATCACAATAAAAACAAAAATGAAAGAGGAAAAAAAAAAACATTTAGTTAAGTAGTCATTAAAAACATTGGTTAAAAAGAAATGTTTTCAGGTTTTTTTTAAAACATGTAACAGTCTGTGGAGCCCTCAGATGTAGAGGAAGGGC